AAATTTGATTGGTTTTCGTTGCATCTGCTAGACATCAGAAACCGTATTTTATTGCATAGCAAATATCAGCTGAATCTCCTTCAACGTTAAAATAAGAACGGCTTTGCTTTACGTAGTCAAACGATTAAGTTTCTTAGTAAATAATAATGGTACAGGGTGGGGCAAAAGTTTGAGACCTCAGTACTTTTTCAAAGATTAAATTGGAAGGAAAGTACCTAGAAACAAAACGTTTAGTGCACATATGAATCGAACCTTTACAAATACAGCGCAGCTCTCAGATTTTGAGATTGCCTCTTGGCCTCAAAGCAGCCCTTGGAAATCTTGGCAACTCCAACTGTCGTGACACACAGACAGTAGTGATGTTATTCGTCTCACCCCTTCACGATAATTGCTTCTTTCACATGCGCAGTATGATAGAGCAAGCTTTGGCTAAAGCCTATTACGAAAAAATTTTTTTGCAATATTTGGGAAAAGAATTTTGGGATTTTAAGTGAAGGCATGTGCACTTGCGTACTGGAAGTTCGGATGCGATTGCGAGCGGTAGCGGAAATTTATAATCTAGAAAGTATTAAATTGCTTTATCGAGCAAATTCAAATATAGCATTTTTAGCTAGGTAAGTAAACTATTAGAGCGATTGTTCGATACATTTTTAAGATGTGCTGTATACTAGTTATCCGAAAGGATTGCCTCAATTTCACGAGTTCAAGACCCACCTTTTTCAATTTTTCAAGCGAGCGAGCAAGTCTACTGATTTGTAAAGGATGATCGCGACATTATGTGGCGTAAATTTGGAATCAAAATCATCGGTGGTTTCGTGATTTACTGCAAAGTCGGCTCTTAGACTTTTGCTTCACCCTGTATTTACGTAAATTGAGGTATTCTGTGCATTACATCCACTACATCCACCGTTTTTGGAATTCCGTCGATTTATGGAAACTTTTCAGAGGTATATGCTTTTATTACATTGCTTCTGTGTTTATTGTCCTCCAGCTTTGCTGTAAGCCGAAGTGCTGTTTCCAAAAACTCCGCTAAGAGCAGAAAAATAATCGCCACCGTTGCCTACTGCGTGCGAGTGCTCATCAATTCACTTCACAAGCGCAAATCGACGCCCAAGACTGCTCTCACAAGTCAAGGCTGGTTCTCCCAAATGTTCTGGAACGGTTCGCGCTTAGTTTTGCGCTGAGAAAAGAAATGCCTAGATACCGTCTATTCCCCACAGTATAGCGGGCGGAGCTTTGCCGACGTTTAATAACATATGCGCGTGACAATTTTTGATAGCTAGAGATTACAAAAACCAATGGTCTGAAGTGTAGGTTTAACAAGTTTCCCAACGTGTTCAAATGTGTGCAGGGCCACGCCCGCTATATGCATGAGAAACGCCTATATCACGTTAGCTTGCATTAAAACTTAAGTATTCTTAACCTCATTGTCATTCTTTGGAGCTAGCGCGCTGTTTCAGTCACAAATGCTAACCTATCTAATTGAGACACTCCAAGAAAGAGGTTCATTTTTTCGTAGGAATATTAATACTTTGCGTACTGCGTAGGGAAAGCTTTTCATTGATAAAGTACAGTATTATTCCGTGTTGCCTCGCCTATTTCCAGTCTAATAACTCAACAGTTAATTGCAAGGCTAATAAGCATCTTGATGAATGAGATTGTTAGCTTTGTCCCAGATATAGCTTGAGAATCAGGTGTATGTAATTGCCTTATGTAAAGAGAGGTAGTACAATCGCATTTGCTATTTTTATAATCACAAAAAAATGCAAATATCTATACAATAGCTCTTGAAATAGTCTCAATAAGTACTCAATTATTTTACAGAAACACTCCATCAAAGTTCGTAATCTGAATAGAGATGGCTATAACACCCAAATACTTTTGATTCAATTTATCTAATTTTACGAGTAAAAGACGCACCTAGTTTTCTTCTAAACTCGGCCTGAACACACCAAATAAATTCGCGGCCAAAGACTCTATAGCTTGCTGCGTTTTGCCTGAAAGTATCTTGCGACATAAGCCTCGTCTTTCGAAACACGACAGAACACCTTTTTTGATTTTTCAGAGAGCCCGCGACTGAGCGGCTCTTTAAAAATCAAAAAAGGTGCGCCTTGTACCTTTTCGAATGACTAGTATGCAGCATGTCAAGAAATGTATTGCATTTGCTCTATCAACTTACTTGTAAAGCTTACGCGATCGCTCGAACGCCGTATTGTAAAGCCCGTTCCAACTTGTTAGATTTACAAAGTGGAGCAAATCACCGATCTCACTAATGTAAAATAATGGTAGAAAGGGTTTTGAGCTACAGAAAAGCCTTTTGCCTCGGAAAACAAACCAGGCAACCTTTCACACTAAGTTAGTCAATCACTACTCGAATTATAACGTTCACCGTAATGCTTCATTCATGAGCTAGGTTGAGCATAGCATGACAGCTGTTTCCATGATCCTCGAAAATGCGAATACGTCAATCTAAAAGCTTTAAAAACGTGTAAATTGAGCGTCAAAATCAGTTTCAATCAATGATTATTTATTTTGAATCAAATTTGAAAATTATTTTGAAGTGGGGCATATTCACAATGACGCTGTATGCTAGAAGTTCTCACCGTAATCCTATAGTCCTTAAGAAAGATCGATGATCCGCCTTATGACGAATCTTATGCAAATGCCAGCCATTATAGAGCCATAGAGTTATAAGCCATTATAGAGTTCGAAGGATCGCAATGCTTTTTTATACAAAAAATTATCTCAAATAAAACGTTCAATTTTTGAAACAATCTTGAATCGACTATAAGAAGTTGCGGAGAATTGGCGAAAATCAAAAGAAAAAAGGTCGTGCCAAGTGAAAATAGTAGACAAGAATCTCTGCACGATTACACGACCCACATATACTAGCAACACAGCATTTTAACTTTGAATTTCCTCTTTGTGTTTCTGTAGCTTTACTGTCACATGCATAACGATAATAAGCAGAAAGTAATGCACGGCGCTTTATCTGCTTCGTGGTCGCAAATCAAACAACTCTGTGACCTTGAAACACGGCTCTGCAACAGTTGCGGGATTGTGAACAGAATTCTCAAGCCTATTTGTACACAAATGTATTGCACGCTAGTGCGAACATGTCGCTGGTGGGTTAAATATATCTTGAAATTGAACAAACTAAGCGTTATTCTTGCTCATGTAATACACACATAGCAAGAGAAGGTTTGAAACTTAGCCATATTTTTGTCAAATAAATTATTCTTTACATAAATGTGCAGTCATTGCTCGTTCTCTCTTCAGCAACACCCAAAATACAGGTAACAAAGAAAAAGTAATTTTAGCACCAAGTAAACATTATGCGCGGTACAACAGAACTCTCAACTCTACGGATAGTTTAGGTGTCCTCTTCTGTTTGAACCTCGGCATTGATTTGAAGAAGTGTTAGTTAATACATAAACACGAGGTTTTTTGGTGAAGCTTTATCAGTAGAGTCGCCTTACGTCTCGACACCAAAACGCCTTGTCGACCCCGGCTAGTATTAGATCCCCTCTATGGTTTCGAGCAAAGACCCCAAAATGGAAAGACGAGCTGACCGTGGTTCCACCGCTGTCGCACTGATGGTGGTGTGCGACCGCCTTCTCTGTGTAAGTAGTGCAAATTATCCATACAAGGTACGGAGCAGCTGCATTACTTCTCTATAGCTCACATAACGGAATGAACGGCAGGAAATCATTCGTAATTGCCAAACATTCATTCCTGTTGTTCATGAGTGGGTTTCTGCTTGAGATCCACAAGGTCGAGAGCTTTCCGCGCAGCTAAGTCAGCCTCGTAAGCCAAAATCGAACATTTAACTTGATAGTCGTGGTCACCATGCTCTCGTGCTTATGCCTTCCGAGAGGTGAGGTGGAGCATGGTGACGACTATCAAGTTAAATGTTCGATTTTGGCTTACGAGGCTGACGTAGCTGCGCGGAAAGCTCTCGACCTTGTGGATCTCAAGCAGAAACCCACTCATGAACAACAGGAATGATTGTTTGGCAAATCGAATGATTTCCTGCCGTTCATTCCGTTATGTGAGCTATAGAAAAGTAATGCAGTTATACCTTATATGGATAATTTGCACTACTTACACAGAGGAGGCGGTCGCACACCACCATCAGTGCGACAGCGGTGGAGCCACGGTCAGCTCATCTTTCCCTTTTGGGGTCTTTGCTCGCGAAACCATAGAGGGGATCGAATACTAGCCGGGGTCGACAAGGCGTTTGGTGGCATAGGCATATGATCATCAATTTCGCTCCACTTTAGGCCCCTTAAGACGACGTTTGGTGTCGAAACGTAATGTCGTCCTACCAATAAAGCTTCACCAAAAAAACATCGTGTTGGCATATGTATTAACCAACACTTCATCTACGGATAGTGTTTTGAAGGAAGTGGGTTTGTATATAGCTGCGACTACAAGTAACCAAACTTTCACGATCTTCATGCACACTGAAGGTGGGAGATTCCATATCGCAATCATTCGTATAGAATGACTTACAAAAAATAAGTTTCTTGATGGCGCGATAGATCCATATGTAGCCAATGCTAATAAAATCCGCTGTATGTGAAATTGTATCACCTTTGTTATACTCCCGTGCTCTAGGCAGGCCCTGGTTTACTTCAATAATTACATGCCACTAATCTCGTCAAAGATTTGCTTTTAATAGCTGGTTATTTGGAGCTTCAAAACAATTATTGTCATAATGATAGCATAGCAAATGAAGAAGTTCGAATCCAAATCAGAAGCCACCAGCTGAAACTTTCAAGCGTCAACTAGTATTTTGAGGTTCATCTTATTGCACTTACCATATCTCAAATATCACGTATCTTTATCCTGTGCTTCGAAGCAGGTATCTTACAGATAAAAGGTAAAGTTGCTTGCAAAGACTCTACGTTACAATGTACTCGATGTCGAATTAAGGTTCTTTTGACGAAAGACTTTACGCCCTTGTATTCTTGAGATATCTACTGCTTTGCTACTTGATGACAATATTTCCCGCTGTTATAGCCGAACGAGCACTGGCATCGCATTATATTTCCGACTATGAGTCCGTCGAACGACGTTGGATATCACTACTAGTAAACTCAAGTGCATTCTTGATATCTGGGTTTTATAATGTGCTCATGCAACTCATTGCTTCCAGTAAGTATCTTGCTTGACGCTCTAGCATGCCGTACATTCAGATAACAATAATATTAATTAACATTAACATTGACGATTAACGCATACATAGAGATTGAAGTACAGAATAGACAATACTGATTTAGATACCCTGACACACCTTGCGCAAGCAGAATAATCAGTTTGAACGCTAATATTCCAACAAACAAGACAATATAAAACTCAATTGTGAGCCCTCAAAAATGAAGTCGGAAGAACATATAGTTGTCCTCACCCCACTAGTCGGTTCGGTGGGCGAATTCGAATTTGAACTGGCGCAGGCTGGTCGCGACGGAGCGCGGCACCTCAATCCTCAGTTCAAACCTTCGCCTATTTTTCCCGTTCTTTTTTGCCTCTGATTGGTAATTTGCGTATTTTGACAACGTCCATAAACAAAATTGACGTTTCGTTATTGTTAAGCGTCGTTTCTGGCTGCTGTGCTCGGTTTCCGCCGCGGCCAACCTGCTCCAGTTCAAATTCGAATTCGCCCACCGACCGACTAGTGGGGTGAGGACGACTATACAAAAGTTTCACGATGATTTTATTGAAATTCTTAGGGCTATCGGGAAGTCACAAAACAGCTTGATTCTTTCAAAATTCGGAACTAATTAATAGCAACTATTAGCTGGAAAACCTGGATCCGCCCGCCCTTGTCAACAATATATTCGTAATCAGCATACTTACTTACCCACTAATGTCAATTACCAGTTCCGTATGTCAAACTATGCAAGAAATCGATAGAAATCAATAAAAGCGATGTCGATCGATAAGCCTACGACATCCACCCCGCCCCGAAGTGTATCTGTGCAAAGTTGGGTCCGGGTCGGTCCAGAAATGGAATTTCCTGAACATTACAATAATTAATGCACCTTTTAGGTTCACTTTTAGACTACGGTAGTGTGGCATGAAACTAACCATGAAACACCAACGTAAACACTGGCTAAAGTTAATCGGTAGCTCCAAGCAGCCATGCAAGAGCAAATAGAATAACTCTGGTACTAGTAGCTCAGAGTAGTGCAGGGATAGGTACCGGTTATAAGTTTTCAAACTCTACCGCTTTTGGATTTTTGTGGTCAGTTATGACACATTTGAAAGTGCAGTAACCGCTTCGCTTTTTACCTATAGCAACTCGTGGTAATTCTAAGAGTTTATCTAAGCCTGCAATTCGTCATAATGGTAATGTCCTTGAAAATGCCCTTTCCAACGCCTTCGAATGCTGACTAGGAATTGATGTCACATTAGCTAAACGTAGTATTTAACTCTCCAGGAAGTCTCAAAGTTTGGTCAATAGAGTTTACATATTTTTTGAACTTTTTCAGGTTGCACAGGTTCGTGGGAAAATCGATTAAAAATTGCTTCTCGGAGTTACAAAGATGTAAATGAAGTAAATCACCGAGGGTAGTAATTCCAAATTGTGGATCAACGTCACAGTTTCTGTTGAGTTCATGTTTGCAACACAGAAAATACTACGCATGTGGGACATGAAGTAAATAGCGGCCAGTGCCATCATTATGCGATAATAGTTCGAACCTTAAGTATTATCTGCATTCTTCACCTTTTTGTCATATTTTAATGTTTTTATCAAGATTAGAAACTTTTTTCTGATACCAGCTGGTTGGATAAAAGAGTGGAGAGCAAAACAAAGTGAGTTTGAGGAAAAATTTTGTTTTCATTTTACCGTAAAGCGCACAATACCGTATACGAAAAATCAGGCTGTTAACTAAGTTTTGCAACTGAGTCCGTAACTTTTCGCTTTTTGAGCTCGGCATGCCCACTTTTTGATATTATATGAAATGTCGTATGAGCTACAGTCGAGTAGATTTCCTGCTTAATACAGTGTTCCTGCAGACGCGACAACGCTGTGGCGTCAATAATTGCTTGAGGAGTTCCCGAGCTAGTGTTTTCCTGTGTTTTCTTTGCTTATTCTATGCTTTTTAGGTGATTCGTCGCTGATAAAGAAGAAAAGGGTAAGTTAGAGAGCAGTTTCTGTTTTCTGAGAAGTTCTATCATCGCATATCCACAGATATCCACATGGAAGCAGTTCGCGTCAACTTCTTGTCTATTTTTTGTCATTTTATGTCTCTTTCTTCTTGTGAGGTACTTCTTTGAGTAGGTTTTCACGATTGACTAATTGTCTTTATCACATGAAGTACTTGACTAAAATGCTATTTCTTGTGGATGAAAGCCGAAGTTGCTGCAGGACAAGCCAACCAGCGTTCAAAGAAACTCCTCACAAGAAGGAGGAGGTCTGAAAGAAGAAGTGACAGAAGAAAAGGAAGTGACAAAAAATAGACAAGAAGCTGACGCGAACTGCTTCCATGTGGTTATCTGTGAATATGCGATGATAGAACTTCTCAGAAAACAGAAACTACTCTCTAACTTACCCTTTTCCTCTTTATCAGCAACGAATCAACTAAAAAGCATGAAGTAAGCAAAGAAAACACTAAAAAACACTAGCTCGGGAACTCGCAAGGCATTCATTAACGCCCCAGCGTTGTCGCGTCTGCAGGGACACTATATTAAGCAGGAAATCTACTCGACTGTATAAACTGGCGCAAACCGTTTGCCTCATATTGACAAGATAGAACAAATCCAAAGACTTTTTGAAAACTAATGAAACGCTAGGATAAGATAAAAGGAAAAATGAAGCCTTCTCAACTTGGATCATTTACAACAATCCTAAATTATACATGAATTGTTCCTAAAAATTGGCTTATTCAACACAAAAGAGAAATTTGAAATCCGTAGACAAGCCGAGACGTGGGCCCTCGAAAAGTTGAAGGAGCTGCTGTACGCAAGGCTGTTTGGGGACGAGCGTTTATGACTAAAAGGCGGGAATCTCGGAATCGCTCAAACTTTGCAACTTTGGTGGAGTTATTTGACCTGTCAAACACGGATCATACTTGTCAATTGAATTGACGCCCCCTTTCTTGCTTAGGGTGAGACCACATCATACTTACACTCTCACACAAAAAAGCCCCTAGCATGCAAATTCAATATCGTTTTCGTGATCAGCATATTAAGTAACCCCCTATGCCACGTTTCAGCCAAATTTGTAATAATCTGTAATTTTTTGCCCTTACAACAATGGCTACCGTAACCCTCAGTGCGACATCGGATTTGGCAGAACCGCAGCTGCGCTTGTCGCTTGCGTCATAGCCTAGCCTACATAATAGCAAGATTTGAGTGCGTCAAATACAGAGAGAGAAAAGTTGTAAAAGTAGTTGCAAAACTTAGTTAACGGCCTAATAATAATAAAATTTTCTCAAAGGGGAGTCTAACTCATTTACAATAATCAGCTATTTACAATTCAAACCTGTAAGCTTCCATTTGCTTTACGACCAGCTCCTCGACACCCTGTATTGGACGAAGCTCGTAAAAAAAGCAAAATTGTCAATTAAGAAGCTTCTTTAGAATTATTTTTTTGCGCATACGCTTCTGGATATGCTTGTAGCAACATCTGCACAGCTCAAGAAACCTCTGCACAATTTATATTCAATCTGGACACTGTGAATATCCATGCATACAATTAGTTTTTTCCACACTAATTGTAATCTAACAACATTGTAACGCCACCTTACTTGCATTGCATTTTCATGATTTTCTAGTTTAGGTTTATATGCCATGATCTTCCTCTTGATTTTCGCAATGCTGTTCTTTGCATCTTCCTTCACATCTATCATGATGGTTTATCGTCGTGATGCTGCCAAGCTTCGAGATCTATCTAATGAGACAGGTCATTCCATTATAAACTACACACTGAGTGTGAAATTTCAATTGGCGGAGAATGTTCGCGTTACAAAGGTAAGCGTTGTTCTGTCTTCGTGAAAAATGTTGGTTGGCAAGCGAAGTCATAAACAAAGCTGCTGCCAAAATCCGAATCAGTTGCAATGACGGATTCCAAGCTGCATGATATTACTTCAAGCAACGCGCGCATCCCGTTGGTTCGCTTTTGGCCAGTTAACTGTCTGATTGGCGGCGGGCGATCCCATCCGGCTTACTTTTTGCCGATCCATGGACGAGTTGTTTTGCAGGCTCAACAATTAAAGCTTGAAGCTGTACAATGATTTGAACAAAAGCAAAACAACTTTTAGGAACTTGCTCCACTTTCCATTTTTTAAGATTGGTATGACTGACACTGTACGGTACGCCGAGTACGTAGATGTTTCAACCAGTGGCGGACCGAGGGTGGGGGAGCCTCCTCCGAGAATGGCTCGCGAAATTTCTGAAATTTACTTATATGGCTATAAAAACGTGCAAGTGACTTGTTTATTTTTTGTAAATAATCAAAATAATTTTAAGAAGCACCCCAAAAATTTTTTCGAGTGGTGGCTAACAAACGCCTTGATTCAAAAGTAGAATTTTTGCCGCCCCCCCCCCCAGTCCGAAATCCTGGGACCGCCACTGGTTTCAACGTATGATGTTTTCAGATTATAGGTGTACGCTGCAGATGCCGCTTGTGCCAATAACTCCCGCATCGTAAATATCAACTCCCGCAACGTAAATATGTAAAAGCGTTGAAGAGAATTGGAAAAGAAGGCTGCACACAAAAGTTTTGTCGCGTTCCTTTTGTTCTTCAAGCAGGCGCAGCGCGCTGAAATCACAATAATGTTTTACGATATTGATTTTACATTGTAGTGCTTGGCAATAAAGACTGCGGATATCAACGGAGCTGCATTGAATATGAAGTTTGAAGTTTCAGTCTTCCAAATTTCAGCTACTCACTCACGCTGCACTAGGTCTTTGTGTATGGGTGACCGGCATCAGTTGCATATGCAGCCCTGCTTACTTGATCTTCACTGAAGAACAGCCCATTAGCCATATACTTTATGCGGTTTCAGACGTTATCATAGCTTTGTAAGTCTCTTTGCAGGTTTAATCATTTTTATTGTTATTGAAGGATATTTGATTAACTAGACTTCTGAATACTTTGTAACTTGAACTATTGATTATTGTCCTTTTAGATCACTTACAATCACCGTATGGCTATCTCTAGTTGCTAGCGAGAAGTTGAAGAGGACGTATAAGCACTTTATGGATTACTTCTGCTGCATGAACCAGAAAGTTCAAGAAACCATGGTGCGCCCCGCAGCTTCCACTATCGTTGACACACAAGGAAAGACGGATAAGCATTTTGTACAGCTTCGAACTGCGTGGAAAACTATAACATGAGCTTAATGAAGGATATTTATTTATTTATTTATTGATACACTGTTGTGCACAGTGCGCCAGTACTAAGACACGAACGCAACGACAGACAAAAACAGTAATGAAACGAAATTGTAACATGCTCAACACCCTAGAGAAATTGAGGAGAGTAATTCTCTAAACTAGGTGCTCGTCAGTGTTGTCTTCAAAGTCAGAAAGTCAGTGTCGTGGGGACTAAACTTGGTATAAGTACAAGTCCAAGTACGATGCGTGACGGTATATAAATATACGGTCACTTTCGAGCGAAGAAAGAGGAATAAGCACCTAGGCGAATGAGCGAAATCATGCGTACCCGGCGGGCAGGAGACCTCGTTCGGCTTACCCCAACAACGCTAACATCGGACTTGGATACAAGATGATCAAGGATAAGAGACAGACATATAAAATTACACGACAAAGACGATGTCAGATTTAGAAGACAAACACTAAGCTGCGTATATCGGAAGAGAGCCTCTCAGGTCAAGAGCATGTCAGCAAAACAGCAATGAAAAAAAATGATTGATGGAACGAGATGGTCATACTAATGTATGCTATGCTGTAACCCATACAACGAGAAAATGAAAACAAAACAACAAGGATAGTCAATTTAGGCAAAGGGAACGTGGACCGAAGTTCAGCAGAGTTGTATCGACTGAATTGTACAGGCAACCATGGAAGGCCTCTGAAATCAAAACAGACGAGACAACATAAGTGAGTTAAAAAGGCGATCAACTTCCCAAGTGAAGTCCATAATGAAGGATATGTTATCATTAGTGTTTTTTTTTGCTTGCAAGCTGATTGGTATGCTCAAGGTCTTTGCTGGAAATATAGTTGGCAGCCGGACTCATTTCTTTAGCTTGGTTTTTGTCATTTTTACGCAATGCCGCCGCAAAAACAGTGGGCGTGACATTATCTTCGTTTCAAGGTTTATGAAGAGAGCGATTGATGTTCCATATTTGCAAGAGACTCCTTCTATTTAACGAAGAGAATAAAGGTAAAGCTATCCATTTTGTGCAGCTTGATTTGAGGAAGGCCAAACTTCATTCGCGCAAAACTACTCAAAGGATTATGAACTTGCATTGTCAAGCTACAACTATAGAAAATGAGCTTACTATTACATGTAAACTCTAAGCATTCCGTATGTACTCTTAAGGAGTTGCCGTTGTGGCGCATTTCTGTGCCGTAAGTCTATGATAGTTTGTTCCAGCACATCTGCTCAAATAAGTGTATTGCCAGCTTTCCATGAGATTGCACTGAGCTGACCACTTAATGAGCATCCTAAGTGTTGCTGTAAAAAATTAAGCTTTAGTTATTGTTAGCATGGACTGCAATAGCTGCGATATTGGTACTTTGCGCACTGAAGCTTACACTGAGAAGCGAACCCAATTGCAAAGTATACCAAACATACATCTGTGTATGTACATCCTGTAACATTAAGAGTGATAAGACTCGCGTGGCTCATGTTACGCGCTAGCTCCTCGTCGGGCTCTGTACCCTTTTACAAGCGTGCTCTCTTTTCCATGCTTAATTAGAAATCAAATCCAGGCGTTACGCCCATGTGTGAAAAATCAGCTTGGGTTGAGAAAAGAGATGCAAAGGGAGGACGCGACCCGAGCCGCAAGAGCTCCATTCATTCCTGATGAGGAAGGCGGTGGGTTCGATTTTCATTCACAACCTGCTCGGATATATGATCAAATAATCAAAACTTTCCACCGTTCTTCCTATAACTAATCTTATTTAGCCATGTTAACCGAAATTTACTTGATAACATGTAGAGATTGCAATTTTTTGAGTTTATGACATTTGCTAGACACGCATGAAATTTTAATTTTTGGCTACCATAAATTTGTCCTCTTCGGATTGTAGTGGGTAATCCAAATTATTAGATTTAGACTGGCGGAGATATATGTTGCTTCTGATGTAAAAAAGCGTAAGGTGTGCATATCAGTCGTCGTTCATGTCTTTCTTTCTACAAAGTCTTTGGTGAGGTACCAATTTGTAGAGCTGGCCTCAACTTAAATTTACCTGAAGCGGTTTACCAGTTATTCATTGTTGTGGGATTGCGGTAGGAACTTCCAGCGTAATCCATTTTCAGACATCCTATAAGAAAAATCTCAAGAAAAAAAGGCCTCAAAAGTTGATTAGTATTTTCATAACAACACTACACGTCTTTTTGTGAGCGCTTGAGCTTTATAAATCATGTGACCACGTTCAAGAGCTGAAAAACGTCACATTTATCTGGCATGATTCATGAAAAAGCATTACTATAGAATTAAATTAAATCAAAGTTCATGACTCGTGATCCTAATTTTTTCGATAGTTTCATTTTATTTCTGGGGTAAACGATCTTTCAAATGGCTCGTAAGGCTCTCAGTGTCCGTACCCTCGCGCAAATTGATCCACATAAAGTTTGAAAAAAGTAGAATTGATTTATTCGAAAAATCAAACCACTGCCCTTAAACTTACTACGAACCCTCAACCTGCTCACGCACGTTTCCTCTAAATCAGATTTTCATACGTTTAGCAAGTGGACATTTTCCACGGGGCTACAATACGTGAGAACAAACGAGGCGATGAACAAAAATACATCGTTTTTGCCTCATTGCGCTTTTAGTTGGTCTCGAAGGCTAACGCTTGCAGAAAATTGAGATTCTACACTGCTAATAGGTTTACACTGTAACGCCTCCTGTTTGGAAGAAACACAGGACAGTTTTTTTGGAAAAGTATGCCAAATGTAGTTTTTCGAATTTCATCGTGGGAAGCTCATCTGCATACGAATGCTTGATGTAGAGAGCGTATGCATGAGCAACTTTTTTCTACGAATGTACACATACACGATTTTCCATGCATTCAAGGCTTTTTGATTACTGGCTTCAAACTTCGCTCAAATCAAACCTGGTTTATATGTTCAAATTCTATCTTGCAGAGCTGGCTTTGCTCATCCGGAATGGTGCTACATTCACTTTTAGTGTTCCTCTGCAGCAATATTGCACGTACTACTTATTTTCCCGACAACTCAATATTAAACAGAAGATATTCATTATTTCTGACTCGTCTACCTCAGTATGTCATCCCATACCTTTTTTTCGTGACTTCCGCATGGGCAACGCTGTTTGTTAACATTCAAAGTTGCCTCTTTTCAACAAAGGCTTTTGGTTCATTCATACAAAGAATTTGTTGAGCTGTTCAACGTTGCCATAGTTAATTAGACACCAGCAGTTCGATACTACGAAACGTAATCAGTATTTCTCGCAGAGATGCAACTCCAATTACCCAATGGAGTCGCCTTTTTTCTTCCTGTAATATTCCCCACAAAAGAGACTTTATTGATGTGGCCGTCGCTAAAGCTATTATATTTATTAGAGCTCATTTTTATCATTGCCCAGGAACTGCGTTGCTATTGTACGCACTAGAAAAATCTATACAAATTCATGGAAATCTCAAAGGAATTACAGGTATGTTTTGCCTTCACCTCTTGATATCAGTTGATTGTAACTGCGAAAGTTGGTGAAGATAGAAAGAAGACGACTATCCGTTTCGTGTTGCAACTTGTACAAAGGACATGTGCTTTTATTTCACGCTCACAAGGCGCGGGGAATTTTTTTTTATCAAAACTGACTGGCCCAAATACGCCAAAGAACTTCGTAAACCGAGGACCCTATGCCGTGCTGTTTATTGCTCAGGAGAATCGTACGGCATAAGGACCGCAGAGGGGTTTGGTTGAAAGATCGAAAAAGGTGCGCCTTGTACGCGTGAAATTAAGATAATTGCTCTAAAACCTTTATTTACGGTGGAGTACATGATTGTTGATAATTATTTTGAAACAGGTTTTCTCAAAGCTACTAAGCTTCTGGAATTTGCAGCAAGTATTCGAAGCTTCAATTTTTATCCAAAGTTTTCTGTCAGAAGTGTTCTTTTATATCTCAAGCTCAGAGTGAACTGCATTCTTAGGCTCATCTTGTTGGATTTACTATAACGCAATTGTCACAAATTTTCCTCTTATTTTTTGAAATAGACTCTATGGAAGAGAGAGGTGATTGTTCGGAATCTTTGCAGCTCTTCCTTTACAGCATATATATTTTTGAAGGCAGATTCGATGAAAGAGTGTATGTTCTAGCTTCGATAAGATACTTGTGGCTTTGCTCTCTTATTGCAATTATTCCTGCTGTAGCAGAGCGAGCTCTAGCATCGCATTATATCTCTGACTATGAGAACAACAAAAGACGTTGGATATCGGTGTTGATAAACACAAGCTCTTTTGCTGTTTCTGCAGTTTACCATCTTCTCATCCAACTTATTGCTTTTAGTAAGCTAATTCTAGTTTTGTTACTTACGCATCTTGAGGGAATTTAGTGTCAAGAACAACTTTAGAAAAACGACAAAATAAGTACTGCAGTGTAGTACTGTAATACTTTTCATAGCACTTTTTCGCTTCACAAGTGTGTCCGTAGTATGTCTCCGCTTAATCGTGTGCCAAGAGTCTGCGGTAAAATTCGCTCGTGGTTCACGAATTTTTTCCGCAAACACTGAACCTCGCAAGCACACCATATTGGGCGAAAAATATCCGCTGAATGTTTGTCCACCTCGGATTTTCAAAGTAAGAAACTGCTAATAAGGTCGACGATTTCAAAACGCCGACATTACCAAGTTGATTTGTATAGAGAATTATAAATTACCGCATTTTCACCTCGTAGTCAAGCAAAGTTCTATACATTTAAAATCAAGCATCAACCAGCTAGTAAGGTTCTCAGTCATTTTCGTTACATACGGGAAAATTTTCTCAGTCATTTTCGTTACATACGAAAATTATTTGCTTGTGAGTCTCAGATGTCCTGCTCCCAGAGTCGGGCCAGGCTGCCCGACAACGCGGCGTTCGCGGAGTACGGACGCGTACATATAGGCAGCGGCTCGGCAGAGTGACAACTTTTTGATATTCATCAATCTTGATCCCTTGGATGAGCTGAGTTAGAAAATGTGCTTTGCAGCTTTTAAAGATATCAACAACTCGCTTGCACGGACGTGAAATTGCTGTTTGGGCGGGTCTTGAAAGTGGCTGCTGGAGCCAGTAATTCTATTGCCGCCAAGATGGTCACTGTATCTTCACTCAAGAGTCAATCGCGCTGTAGAGGCAGGCCTACACCGTCCGCTCAAATAGCACTTTTCACTTCTGGAAAAGCGGGTTATTGATATCTTTTGTAGCTGACTCGTTCAGGGAACCGAGAACGATAAATATCCCAAAGTTGTCATTCTGCCGAGCCGCTTGCCTAAAACTAAGGGCGTAAGTTGCGTAATTCGCGCACGCCGCGTACGCCGTGCACTCTGGTCCAACTCTTAAGTGTGTATGTTTTTTTTTGATTTAGGTGTGTATGCTATGCTTTTTCTCGTAGCCCTTACAATGATGATCTACGCAATCTCATCACTTGCCATCATGTTGGTTTACCGACGTGACGCTGCCAAGCTTCGCGATTTATCAAATAAAAGCGGTTACTCCGTTTTGAACTACACATTAAGCATGAAATTTCAATTGACGGAGAATGTTCGTGTAGCAAAGGTACGCATGCTTAAATACGAGTCCTGGCAAATTATCTCTCCAGTTTTCATCATTGAAATTCTTCCTGGGATCGCTCTTCCAAGTAATGTAACGAATCGATGGAATGAGACGGTCAAGATAGAGAGTTTAATCTAACACAAGCACTAATGAAAACAATGTCAGTTTTGAAACTTACACTTCAAGTGCTCTCAGTAGGGTTTTGAAAAGTTGCTTGTTGTTCGGTTTTTAACTATCCGTTAAGCCGGCAAATACGTGATCAACGCTCTACTACAATTTAGCTGCTTACGCAGGCCTCGGCTGGTCTTTCTGGATAGGGAATGTTTATGTGTTGTCTATGCAGTCCATCTTATACTTTCTTCGGAGAAGAGAAACCTATTAGCCAGATACTTTATGCCATATCAAATGTTTTCATATCTGCGTAAGCTTAACTACAGACTATTACTGTGGTCATTCAAATTTTCCTCCCATGCATCCGCCCAACTGGATGAAACTGATAGATTGCAGATCATTTACTGTCACCATATGGTTGTCTCTCGCAACGGTTGGCGAGCTGAGGCGAATATATGAGCGCATGCTGAAATATTTCTGCTGCATGAATCCGAAAGCCGAAACGCCAGTATACCCAGTCTCCACCGCGATTAGAAAAGGACACGCACTTTGATCAAATACGAGCTTTGTGGGGGACGAGCTCTTGAGCTTGTCAGATCTTGATTAAGCTTTGAATCTGTCCACTTCTTAAGGTAGGCGCCAGATTAGCTGACTGCCTTCTCTAGCAGAACGCTGCGCAATTAGTAAGCTGATGTCATGCGTCATGTTCGACGAAATCAAAATGGCGTCTGCGATGTGCGACAAATTTTGAACAGATGGTAAAAAAAACCGAGAATGATATTAGGTTGTAACAGAATTAATGCAGGTTTTTCGCGCATCTTTTTCAAAATGCTGGTTCAGAAAAGGAAAGTGCTTTTTCAGAGAGTTTTGCATATCATTTGGAAGACCTTTTCTTCTAATTTCTTATGCATTCTTTCGTTTCAGTGGAGGTGGGTTTGTCTAGAAGTTCTGAGCCCATGAATTTGAGAACCCAAATCTCGAAATTCTTTCTTTTAATATACCTTCCTCTAAAACCACCAAAAACAATCGCAATTCGCTGTAAATTTAAGTAGTGTTTTTATGTGAGCTATGTTACAAAATGCATGTTGAATCATGAGTTCTAAGAACGTCTGAGCCGGGAAATTTCAAAGCAAATTTCAGCGGCCGCTGTGGTCCGTCTGCCTTACATAAAAATTCTCAGCGCGAAGCGACTGCGGAGCATCCACTTTATATAGGAAGAATAGACTCTAGACATTTATGGCTTAAAAAATTGGGAGCCGTTCCACCTATTCAGCTTTGAAAAAATTCAAAAGTTTCAGAAAAGCGATTTTTCAAATTCTCAGAAAAGTCGAAAAAATGAGTACTTTTAAAATTTTTTCAAATATTCTCTCGCAAAGAATTCTTTTTCAATTCCAAATTTAGCGCCGCTGCACAACCGATCATAGGCTATACAGTGAGTCATATTTGCGCTACCTTACTATATGTGATAGTAAGTTATGGTTTCTCAAAATGAAGGTTTTCCGAAAAAATTCTTGGCAGGATTCACGCTATAAAATTTTTCTCAGTAAAGCTACAACAACACTATAATGCATACTGAGCTGAAAAAGGTTTGCTGATTACAACAATTCTTGTTGCACACGAAAAGACTATTTGTGTAAAAAGTTATAATAATTCAAACACAAAATTCAGAAAACCTGCATTAATTCTGTTACAACCTAATAGAAAGGACCTTACCAGCGAAAAAATTTTTGTTGTACCAGAATGGCCGACTTGATCTTTTTACAACGTGACATCCAATGCAGTAGCTGCTCCGCGTCCTGCTGAAACGGGCAATCGGTTAGTCTAGCATTTATCTACGATACAATTTTTTAAACTCGTCTTTGATATTATGAAAAGATACGTTGTTGACTAAGACCGTTAACTGTCAAGTGTGTTCATCAAAATGTGGCCAATGAATGAAAGTTTTGCTGCTTAAATGATACTAAGCGCCCGCTTTTTTCGCCACCTTCGGCTTTCGAACTTTCTTGAAAGTTTTACTCAAAACCAATCAAAGCGGGAGCGATGGAGAATGTAGATGAGGGAAGATGTAAGTGATAGCAGACAGTATAGCAAGGTGCTTGAAGATATCCGACAGTTATGTTTTTTGATAACTACACTACCGCTGGTAACTTGTGAAAAAAGACGCACAGTCTTGCGATTCGTAATATCACGTAGCGTGGCCTTATCTCGCTTCAAAGTGGACAATTGTCCACAGTTCTTGATCCAAGGTAAACCATTCGACTCAGCTCGGCGCGGCACATTTTCTGATATAGAAGTACAGTTTGCCCCAATCCTAATCAAGCTAAGATTGGCATGGCGGGAGTCCGCGTCGCTGGGGTTTCGCGTCACGCCTTCAGCCTGCTTGTCTCTCTTTCCTCAAGCTCTCCCCGGCAGTGGAGGAATTCGAAACGCACTACCATGATTGCGCGCGGCAGCGACGCGCAGCGTTCTCCGCGGAGCGCGACAGCGACCAGGAACTACCCGATGCAGGTACGCATCAAGCCTAAGGTAGGTGCCAGAGTAAGCGAATATTTTATTCAGCTTCGTTCAGCTTCAAAAGGCGCAGAATTACTGTCTGCTGCTTAATGTCTAGGCCTGCTTCAGCTGCAGGTCCCGCGCAGAATTAGCGTTAATTCTGCGCGCCTTTTGCACCTGAACGAAACTGAACAAAATATTCGCTAACTTTGGCACCTACCTAAGCGCAAGTACGTGGCGGTAGCAGCAACGCATAATACGTATCGATTGCAGCAGAGTGACGCCGCTGCCTCACGCTGCAGCAGTTAACGCAAAAGGTCATGTCCATACCTAGCTACTCAGAGCAGCGCTGCTCGTGCTGATTAGCGCTGATCAGTGCTGCACTAGATTTTGCAGCTGAGTTACGCTCACTTTTTCTGAGCGTATCTCAGCTACTTTGAGCTGCAAACAGCTGCTTGTGTTTGGATCTACCTATCTTTACCAGTTTTCAAGCTGCAATTAGCGCTTCAAAAACAAAGTTCGTTTTTCTTGCATGAGCAAGTCATTAATGCAACTTAAAATCATCAAATTAGGATTTTGGCCGGTATGGGAAAATACTGAGATGAACTGGAGTTACATATTCCATGAAGTTGAAGAGATAAGAAGTAATCAAATCAACTACAGATTGGCAATAATTTAAACTGACATTGTGGCCAAGTAAAATTTCGCTTCCGTGGGACTCCGATCTTGTCATTGCCTGAGGAACACTCATATTGCTGGGACAGCCATTGATAAGGGTCGAATGGAATCAGTTATTAGGGTGATCGGTAAAAAATGGGGCAGCTTGATTTTTATTACATTTTGAGGTTTTCTGTTCTCACCAACAACTAGCAGGCTGCAACTCTAACGTCGCTTACATAACCGACCTTCGCCTATTATTCTGGCAACGCATTACCGCTCCTCTCTCATAACCGTACGCGTGGCGCCGTGAAGAACTCAGACAGGGTTTTTGGGACAATTCTCAATCTTGCGCTGCTATACCGTAAAGTCATAAACCAAGTGACAAACCACTCGAAAGAGCTCTTTATGCTCTTTCAAACATATGTTAAATGCGTGAGATTTCTTTTTGATTTCAGTAAAAAACGCGAAAAAATCTGAAGCCAATAGCCATTTTCTGGTGCAATAAAAGACCAAAAAACCATGTTTTGCCCCATATTTTCTCAAGATAGATGAAATCTGAGGTAACCTGCATATGGGTGGATAGAGCGTAAAAAACTCTATCAGATGGTGCCTACAAAACATGCGTTCACCTGCAAAGAATTGAATAACGCGTATTTTTGTTCTCGAAGCTGTTAATGGTCATATCTCCTAACTTTGGAAGTTGAGGCCATTAAGCCGTCGTGGGTTTAGTGACAGTTCCACCACCCACTCCAGCAGCGGTATTTTGGGTGGTCTCACATGTTTCACTGCGCAGATACTGCTCAAAGTTCAGAATTTATAGAAATGACTAACTTTGCATTTTAGCAAGTACAAAAACTACAATTATGTAAATGACCTTATATAGGTATTGTTTGAAAGAGGATAACATATTCTAACATATATCAAAATTGGAAAGTCTAATCACTTCTCTTTCTTGAGAAACTTTCAGTTATTTCGTAAGTGCCCCATTTTCTACCGATCACCCTAATACTTACGCTCTGCTTGCGCTTGCTCGTTTGAGGGTACCTTTCCATTATAAATTTGATAATAAAAAAAAACATGGACTCCTATTAAAAGTAGTAAAATATGACCCTCATCCAACTCAGAACATGCTAATTCTTTCGTTTTCGACATTATAAAACTGCGATAGCGCAGTTATTTTGGATGGTTTTTTCACTCAGCGAGTACTCAAAAAGCACCCGACTGCAACGCTTATCAGCTGGAGCAGCGCTGCCTTCGCTGCTCGCTGTTTTTGTCCATACTTGAGCAGCGAGGTATGTATCAAGCCCTAATAAAAAGAAATTACAATTCAAAAACTATTATACTCAACATTCAGGTTAGCCAAGGCATGGATCTTTGCTACAAAACACATTTTTCACAAATCCTAAAGCCATCAAGCAAAATTCTCTTTGTTTCGTCCAAGTCAGCTTTTTTCATACAAGCCGATAATGATGTAAAAATGGTGATCAGGTTTTCTTACATATTTCTTTGTTTGAAACAATCAAAATGTTCTTCCATAGAGTAGGAAAACGCTAACGGAAAATTAGGTCGCCGATAGGCTCCATCCGCGCAGACAAGTATAGGTCATTTATAGAATCGTGACGACGGATTTGACTACGGTTTCTGCGCCTACAGGAGCAGAAGACTTCCATACAAAAAGTCACCTCAAGCCTCAGCTCAATCACTTCCAGTGTCTAAACGCTATCATATATAAGCAGAATAACCATTCGAGTAGAGATGGAAATTAGGAAAATAACGATTGCCGGGTATGCGTGCGTGTCACGTGCGGTCGCGCTATCGTCACGATTCTTCGAGTGCCCTATAGCATGAGGTAGCAACGGTGAAGCGAGGTTATT